CAGTGGATGGTTGTTTTCTGACTGGTCGGCAGACCGCCGACCGGTCGGCCCTACTGGTCGGCTGCAATATGGTCGGCGGTCGGGGTCGGCGGTCGGGGTCGGCGGTCGGCAGGGATGCAACCCTGTCTATGTTTGAAAAAAACAAAAAGGGTGACGGCATTGTGATATGATCATTGAACTGACCGGCCCTTAGAGTTTTGTAATTCAGTTCAATGATGAGGGAGGGTAATTCAGAACTGTAGTTTTTTTACTGATTTGCTTCCAGTGTTTTTCAGAGAATTGATATAGAGTTCGGTAGTGGGGACCACTGAGCCTACTGTTTTCACCCGAATAGATCGGCCAGTCATTATAGCCGTATCTGGACTGAAAATTGCACCAGATACGGCTATAATGACCGGGCGTTCTATTCGGGTGACGACGTTAGCTGAGTTGATACCCCCATGAACTATTGAATTACAGACCGGAGTCCGAATCTGGATGGACCTAGATGAAAAATGCAGTGTCATAATTATGAATTACCTGGGGCTGGTCAACTCGGTGATGATATCTCAAAGCCGTCGCGCTTTTTGAAGATTTTTAAAAATATATAATAATAAATTAATAATAACAATAAAATTGAATAAATAAATAAATAAAGGTTTGGTGGTGGCAGCAGTGCCGCAGCACTGCAGTAGGATGGAGGATTTAGGGAGGGGAGGGGAGGGGAGCACAAGCGAGGGGAAAGGAGGGGGATTTTAATGTTGAAATGATTGAGGTACTCGAGGAAAAAGGGAGGGGGTGTATGTCAAACATGATCGCCCTTTGTGTGAGGGAAAAAAAAAAAAAAATTAAAATGTAAAGGGGTGGGGATGTGTTCTAAGCAAGACCATTGGTGCGTTGTTGCAAATTATGCGCTTTCTTTTATTTTATTTCGTAACTTTTTTAAAGTTCTTTTGTATATTTCTTTTTGCCTGTTTAATCACATTTTTCAGAGTGGGAGAATGCTGACAAGGGAGCAGATGGAGGAGGAGAAGAAGAGATGGATTGCCAAATCTAAACCGGTAAGGCGTGTGGTTGCGTTTATTGTTTCCTGTCAAATTTTAGTTCTCTTTTAATCACCGCTAGCCCCCCTCCCCATGGTGTCATGCTACGGACACCCTGGAATATGCCAGGAACGACCAGTCAGCGGATCAACCCCCCCCTCCCCCTTCACCTCTCCTCCCTGCAC